CATTGCCACTTTGGGCGACGCTCTACATTTTATATCTATACATCTTTTATAATTGTATGATCGAGAGGTGCTGCATTGATGTTAACCATTATTGAAAATATTTCAGATTCTGAATTAGAGGAGTTTAGTGAACGTTCAGTTCTGCTCCTTAATGTCATCTTGCGTTTGGGTTAATGGAATAGTTATGATTTACAGCTCCTTCTCCAGGCGTAAATTTCAACCTATTAGAGTCTGAGATGGCAAAGGCAGAATGACATTTAATTTTGTGAGAGAAAGGCGTCAGCTTCTAGGCGGTTGGATTTTATACCCATTGTTGAACTGTTAGATACTGGGAAATGACATTTGTAATGAAATTCGATCGGAAATAGCCAGCTGTGAATTTATTTCAGGCGTCGTCGTTATTAAAGAGGATGCTCCAAAGTTCCATTGAATTTTAATAAGACAGTTGACAAATAAGTCATTATTACTTATTCTGTCTAAAATAATTTATTTCAAATAATTAGACATAAGTATCACCCTATTTTAGAAGCGCAGAAAATGAAGAGAGTCACCAATAATAATGCTATAAGAAGAACGAAACTAATTTGTTATAAAGTTATTCTGTTAGATGCTTCCTATTGGATGTTATTTCAATGAAGTCTTTCGATCGCTTATTCTTGGCAACGACAGAAAATGTTACGTTTAGTATGTTTCTGATATTCAGGCACGCAGAAAACAAAAAAGAAGGAAATCAACTAATAAATTCACCCCCTGATGCTAAATTTTATCATCTTTTGTAGCACACGTTCTCCTCAAGAGTTTCTCTTACTTTTCACTTATTCTCTTTGATTTAAATATTCATAAGGGGTTCAATAAAGTTCTGTTTGGGGAGTTTTTGTGTTTTCTAGTTGGTTACAAAAAAGGTACAGTGTATGACAAAACATTTACTAAATACGCTTATTAAATTGACCTGGGAAGGCGTCAGAAAGTCAATTTAAAAATTAATAATTCGGCATAGCTCTCATTCGCCAAGTGTCTAAAAACTAATTTTGAAACTTTTGAGTGTTTCATTCCTAGTCCCTGCATACTACGCCGGGAAATAGGGCGGAAGACTCTCTTCAGCCACTTTTCAGGAATCGTGGGAATGGGTGGGTGGTGGTTAGGGTGAGAAAAATTAAACGGACGAAATGAAGACAGAAGAGAATGAAGAAGAAATCTAAAGTATAGCGTTCCATAAAAAATATCATTTCAAAAACAGAGAACCATGGAAGTCAATAAGAAACAAGCGAGGTAGACTGGTAGGACACCTTCTTAGGCATGAAGGGTTAGCTAGAGATATACTAGAAGCAGGAATAGTAGCTAAAAGGAGTATAGGTAGACCTAATTTAGATTAGTGTTCAGAAATAGTTAAGGTTGTGAGATGTTCTAGTTTTGGGGAAATGCGAAGATTAGCTCAGGATAGGAGAAAGTGGAGGTGCGTGCCCAAGGAATCTTAGGACTGACGACTGATGATGATGATGATTATTGACAATATTAATATCGCACATGTGTTGTATAGGACGTGTTTGAGGTACATGAATTAAAACCGATTTTCCGGTTTCTTATTTCACAACGCCACCAACACCATGCAGTAATCGATTGAATTAAGCACTAGGACAATGTCGGAACAACCATGTGATATGGTAGTTCACGTCTTATCATCGAAGAATTTAATAAAGGACCGTTGGTTTGACATCACCTCCTGGAGAATACAACGCTGTTACGTATAGGGATGATGTCTTGAAGGAAATCTGGCCGAAAATTGTAACATCCGCTGGCAGTTTTACAAAAACGACTTATGAAATTTTCGCTGAAAAGGAGCCGAAATGCCGAAGGGTTGGCTAACAAAACCTTAGAAATAGGGGTTCGATTCTCCGTTCTGTAATGAAATAATGGCGTGGGTGACATTGACAAATTCTTGCTCATTCTTTCCACGTACGATCGGGTTTTTGTTTTTTTGTCAGGTGTTTTTGCTGTCATCGTTTACGGTTTTTCCTATTATAATGGCCCGCATTTTTTTACTTCATGCTTACACTCATCGCCCCTTCTATTATGAAACGGTCAAGATGCAACATTTTTAAATTTCCAAAACAGATATTTGTCCCTCTCTCTCTCTTTAGTGTAAGTTATTATTGACTTTTGTTGTACTTTTGTACTTTAAAATATTAATAAATTCACATACAGGGGGTAGTTGTTGCTATTGAAGTATTTCATGTATTTGTTAACTAAAATAAACGTAGTTAATAGCATCATCGGTTGAGTTATAGTAAAACTGTCTGACGCATGAAATAGTTTAGTAGTAGCAAATACCCTCTAGATGGCGATATACTGTCTACACTTATATATAATATGAACTCTTTTTTGTTTATCCTGGGTAACCTGAGTATCTAGACATTAGAAATTTTTATATTGATTTACCTCTACTTTAAACTGCCTTACATATTACTACTCTTATTTTATTTTTATTAGATAGATTAATTTTCTACTCAAATAAACTTTGTTTACGCCTTTAAAATTTTAGAAATACTTGCATTCAAAGTAGCAATTTTTATAATTTAGTTTACCAACAGGTTGGCTGGTAGAGTTAATAACATTTTTAAGTTGCTTTATCGTTTAGATCGCCATGGACAATAAATTGTACGTTCTTTACTCCATGTAGATAGTACATTGTGTTTCGAATAAATTTAACTATCAGGCCATACGTGCTTTGCACTTATGCTTGACATTTATGCACCACCTGAAGCCAAACGTCAATTATTGTGTTGCCTGCATTATACAGGGTTTGTTCGGAAAGTAATAGGACTGAGTCGATTTAAAAAAATTTATTGAGCCAATCGTTTACAATTCTTTAAAAACTTTCAAAATAGGCTCCTTCTGCGTCGATGCAACGCTGCCAGCGTACAGTCGCGGTGGAAGGAAATCAGTGCTATTACTTTCCGGACAAACCCTGTATTCTGAACAGTTTTCGAACTTCCGTGTTCTTCTTCCTAGCCTTTATTAGATTGTATCTTTAATGCAAGGTACTGCTCTTACTTTTTTCAAATCCGAACATTTTATTTCAGGAAACTATCTCTTCTATGCATCTCAGTCATGCTTGACCTACTCCTAAACTTACTCTTTTAAGGGATAAACCTAAAATAATATTTAGCACTAAACCTGCTTATTTAATTCTGGTAACTGTTGTTGTGCTAAAGTCCTCTCTCGAGTGTAGCTGTAGAAAAAGAAAGAACGAGAATTGTAGAGTAGGGGCACGCGCCCAATTTTAGTCGATACTATCACTCCTCGCTCATCTCTCCCCTTCCGGAAAAGGGGAAAACGGTTCTGACCTACTTTGGACTCCGTTCCATTGAGACTCTTTTTTCCGGAATAAATTTGAAGCATCAAGTGGGCTTCCCCACAGACACGACAGTGTCAGAAAGCTACGTGTACCCCTGTTTAATGAACGAAATCGATCGAACAAGGGTGGCAATTTATCCAAATGACGTGTGTGAAGAGTTATTGGAGCGACATACCTGAACATTCCTTTTTAACTCTACAGTCTACAATGTTTATAAAATGTATAATACGGGGAGATTCATTGAAAATGAATACTGACTGCAATCCACAACGCAAATAAATAAGTAACAATAACTCCATTATTAAAATGTAAAGTTCACCCGGGGTTTAAAATAAAAGTTAATAAAGCGATGGTGTTTTTGTGTATAGCAGATTGGCCTCTAGGATTGTTTTAGGTAAATATATTTTTGTCAGATCTATGCCGAAAGTTCCAACATTCTTTAACTTGGCAGGAGCCGCTACATGAGGTTAGTTTGAGTCACTCCTACCCTTCAATGAGTACGAGAGAGTAAGCAGTAATGAATAATTTTGTTTTGTCTTTTTCTTCTCCCTTTCACTCCCATATCAAGCCCCTTCATCCCGTAGACGAGCGGAGCCACTCTCGCAACTTAAATAATACCTACGAAAATTTTCGTTACTACGTTCGCAATACTATTGGGTTTGGCCATGGAAGAGGGGACTCACCTACGAAATGGAAGGGATAAGAAAAGGAAATAATCATTTCACTCGCACTCGCAGGATCAATGAGGAGATACTTGGTTATACTTGGGGAGCACTCGGGAGTCAAAAGAGTCGAATTTGCCCGGCTCTGCTCTATGACAAAGTCGGGCAAATTTTAGCTTCGTAGGAGCCGCTACATGAGGTTAGTTTGAGTCACTCCATACCCTTCAATGAGTACGGGAGAGTAAGCAGTAATGAATAATATTGCTTTCTCTTTTTCGTCTCCTTCCACTCCCATTTCAAGCCCCTTCATCCCGTAGACGAGTGGAGCCACTCTCACAACTTAAATAATACCTACGAAAATTTTTGTTAGTATGAGGTTGTGAGATGTTCTAGTTTTGGGGAAATGCGACTCACCTACGAAATGGAAGGGATAAGAAAAGGAAATAATCATTTCACTCGCACTCGCAGGTCAATGAGGAGCTACTTGGTTATACGTGAGGAGCACTCGGGAGTCAAAAGAGCCGAGTTTGCTCGGCTCTGCTCTGTGAAGCTGCAAAACTAGCACAACAGGTCGAAATTAATCAATTCCGCTTTGTGTGTCAACTGTCATGCACTGAAGAGACAAATATTCGAACTTCCGGTAGATTATATGTGACGAAAAACAGTTTATGTAATGTGGACTACTTCACAGAACGTGTCTGCAAACTCGGTACGCTATAGAGTACCTATAGATCGCCTTCATTCTTTAACAGGTCGTGCATTTGAAATATTCAGTGGAATAAAAAAGATTTGAATTGCAGAAAAATTGATATTCCATTAATCGAAAACGATTTTCTTTATTACTGAGTAGATGTTTTGTCACATTAGGCGATAAGTTAGAACTAAATCTGGGACTAAAGGTAAAGATTGGCAAATAGAAGATCTCATAATAGATGCTATTATATTATTCTAGGATAAAGATAAATTAAGATCAAAGTACTTACAAGTTCCTCGTCATTAAGGGTTGCCCTGGGAACCGCCGACGTCAATCCCGCATTTCTTTTTGTAGCGGCCATTGTCTGGAGACAGAAATAAGAAAATATATATATTAATATTTCTTCATAGTTATTAAAAATCTCTAAGTCATCTATGACAAAGCTTTAGTTATCAACACAAATAATAAAATAACACTGTTAGGTATAACATTGTTTTATTTTCTGGATAGCTCTCAAATTATTATAACATTCTAATGATAATAATTCCTGTATAAATTTTTTTTAAAATGTTTTGAATATGCAGATGACAAAATTAGATAGCAAGAATGACAAACAAACAGGCTGCAGTAAGTAAATTAACTAAAAGATTCTTCCCCTAATTGCCACAAGTAATTTTTGGGAAACAGACACATGTTTCGCCCAATTTGAGTGTCTCACATTGATAATGTCACCTTCAGAATGAACGAAACACGTGTTTGCTTTTTTTTAACAATCCACTAGTAGTAATTTGGGGCGAGTTTCTTTTAGTTCAAGTTATAGTTCATAGATCGTCTTGGAATAAAGATTTTGAAACGTTTTATTTTATTATTTGTTAAATCAGACTCACTAAAACTGCATAATTATTTATTAATATATATTTTAAGTGCTTTAGTGATAAAAAATTGATTGAATGCTCTATAGTGCGATGTCTTGAAACGGGCAAAAGCAATAATATCTATTAAATGTGATTAAAACTGTTACAAAGGGGTTGGGTAATATATATGTGGAAAAGCGTGAAAATGAATCATGCATAATAAAGGAAATTGTACAGTAGCGCAATTCATGGAAATTGTAGAAACTGAGAACATAATTGCCTTTCTACTTAAATGTGAGAAAAATTGATATTAAGTTATAATTAGGCACGAATAAAGCGGACAGGTGAACTAGTAACTTATTAGCATAAGTGGTCTACTCTAACCTCCATAGTTAAGTCTTATTAATCTAATTTTAAACTTTATGTAGTTTAGTTTAATGAGTTAGCTAGTTAGGGCCGCCACTGGTTTACTAGGCGGACCATTCCAATCTACTATGGTAACTATCTCGACATGTAAACATCAATTGAAAAATTACCTTGATAAAAGGTCTAGGATTCGATGGGATCCACCTCAACGCTTTAGTTCTGGCCTCTTATACGCTCTCGGTGTACCAACTTTTTCTTTATGGAAACACCAATTTACTATTGTAGATTTGCATTCAATTGAAAATAATATGATTTTCAGAATTTTTTCAGGTTTCATATTTAAACTTTCAATGAGAATTGGTGTTTCCATACATAAAAAAAAAGTTGGGGCCCAAAGCCGTAACAGGGGCCAGGAACTATAGCGCTAATTAATCTCCTTTTGAATTCTACAGCTTTTGTTAAAGTCATTTCTAGGTGATCGTTTATACAGCGAGATATCTGTCATATCATCATCATCGTAAGGATTGTCAGTCCTAATACTGGTTGGAGACGCACATCCACCCCTTCCTATCTTGAGCTAAATTTCCCTAAAACTAGAACAACCCACATCCTTAACTATTTGCGAAACAGTTGTCTAATCTAGGTCTACCTCTACCCCTCCTAACTTCTGCCTCTAATATGTCTCTGACTAGACCTTCATGCCTGAGAAGGTGTGCTACCAACCTATCTCGCCTATTTTTTAATTAATTTCCATAGAGTCCTCTGTTCTCCTAGTCTTTTTAATACCTCTTCATTTCTAACCTTCTCTATCCACGGTATCCTCATCATTCACCTTTAACACCACATTTCGAACGCTTTTAACCTTTTCTTTTCCGCCACACCCACCGTCCATGTTTCGCACCCATAGCGCCGCGCTCCAAACGTGCATCTATAACAATCTATATCGAATTTCTAAATTAATCGTTCGCGAGCATAAAAGTGACTTCTTTTAATTGAAGGCCACTCGACCCTGCGATTTCCTCTGCTTTATATCCCTACTGCTCCTTCGGTCCTGACTTATCTGACTTCCTAGTTGCCACTTCTTCTAATCTTTCGTCTCCTATATTTCTGTATAAGCAGCGTTCTATGAAGTTTGACGCTTACACTTAATAAGTGATCATGCACTAGTTTTGATTGAAAATCTCACGAAATGTATCAATAGGTTTGTAATATTTCTTATTTTATTAATTAACCTCTTTAGATGCTGCCGTTTTCTGATATACTGCATTTTTACTCGGTAACTTCTGCGACTCCGATTAGATTTTATTACGTTGGGTATATCGGGTACTAACTGATATCGAGCTAGCTATTTGAAGGAACAGAATTTTCATTTACGATAGAATTTGCAATAGAATTGGTTTTCGCAAATTAAATTCTATGTCGGATAAAGACCATAACTATTGCCATAATTTCTATGTATAAACCCAATATTATGAACTTATATTTGAATTAATGGGTGAATACCTATCACGACTTGGAAGGATTCAACCAGCTTTTCAATATCTTTAAACTTTGCATATAGGGCGATCAGGTTTTATCACATGAAAATTGCTACATGTTTTTAGAAATAGGGTAAAGAAAATATGTGAAGACTACCCTAAATAATGGATTGGTTTAAAAACAAGAAATACTTGTTAGGTATATCCAGTCTTTCGAGAAAATTGTAACGGTTGAGAAGATTGATTTTTATCAGAGTAGAATCGAAATCTGATTTCTAAGAAAAGAAAAACAAAGCTAAATCTAGTTTTCCCAAAAGAAGGCTTTCACGGCCGGTTTTCGGGGCTGATGAGTTACTATGGCCTCATTAGGTTTGATACTAGATACTGATACTGTAGCGAGGTCGAAATTTTCTAGTAGAAGCTCTAGTATGTGTAATTTAGTAAAATCTGTAATAGAGATGCTAAACCTCATTTACAAGAGATGCAATTTTTTACTATAAACTTGTATAAATTTCTCGTGTTTTTCTTTTTTTGGTTCGACTGGAAAGTATGAAGATTGGAAGAGCGAAAATCGATTTTGTGTACCGTTAAAGATTAAGGTCATGCCCTTTTGAGCGTATTTGAATCTCAATAGTGTACTCTTCTGATTTCACCAGAATTGCACTAAATTTAAAGGAGACAAGATAATTCTTGATTAATAGGCGAAACGATTTTTCTTTTTAATCCTGGCTGTTCAGTCTACCCTGTGCTTTTTCTCGAGGGTTTTATTAATCCTTTCTGATGTACTGTAACGAGTTTACGTAACTCGAAAAGAAAAAAACGACTTATTTTAGATTGGGGTGAAATCGGCAGTGTTACAGGAAAGTGACTGGGATGTGTAAGTATTGCTCGAATAAAGTATAACTTTTTGAAAACGTCATCATAAAAATGGTTAGCAATATTTAATATACCTGAACTTATGTTCTATTAAAACTTTCGGGCATATTTTTATTTGATAAAATTAATTCAATTCACTTTTAATTAAATCAATAATGCAAATATTCCCAGAATAAACGAAATAAAATTGTGAGTTTCGGTTATAGCCTGTATACTAGTTTTTAACGAATATTTGAATTTTAGTTTGCCTTATATATAGTGAAAATTTACACAAGACTTGTATAATGGTCAGCAAAGGGTGCTGCCCTAGTTTACCATTAAATATTCCAATAACAAAAGGCTGGAAATTTGCACAAATGCAATATGTGCATGGATGTGTTTTCAACTATAAAATTTATTTCATGTTCAATAGTGCAAAAATAATAAATGGTAAATAATTTGAAAGTTGTCCGAAAGCTTTTAGAGCCATTGTAATTACATTCATGTATAGTTGGGACGTTAAAAATTGGCATGGTTCGCAATTAAACTGTTGCATTTACTTTCTTCTTTAACAAGGACATGTTGAAAATACGGTTTCGCATAGCCTTTTATAAGTTAAATGTTTGCTAGTTGATTCCCGTAACTTTGCTGGCATAGACAGAGCTGTACAGCATAAAGGCGCTCACGTAAATCATGCGCAGCCGTTGCTAACTTTACAATGAGGCAGAAGTAGAAACTTGTTCTGTCTCTCGCACATGTGCATCGCATCAGTTGCATTACTTTCGGCCGTTAGGACTATCGTTATCGCCTACGTTTATGAAAATCTATTTCATTTGTATACCTGATGCGCTTGGTTGAAACCCTCCTAAATTCGTGGGCGCATTCCCTAAAACTCTGTAAATTATATCAATGCGACTCAAAGGGATGCTATAACAATNTAAAACGAGTACTGCTTCTTATAATCGTAAGGGTTCCTTAAGACTTATAAAAATAAGTTTCCCTCTTCAATGTTTGTGTTTTGATCCGGAAAATTATCCATATTCTTACAGTCAGTAGGTAGGGTAGATGACAGTACTACCACGAGCATGTTATGGGGTAAGTTGAGTACATCCCGAGTATATCGTAGGGTATGATGAGTGTACTACAAGTATATTGTAGTTGTATACATCCCGAGTACATCGTAATAGTAAGATGGAAGCACTACGAGTATGTAGTAAGGTAAGATGACAGCACTAACACGAGCATGTTGTAGGATCAGTTGAGTACATCACGAGTATATCGTAGGGTATAATGAGTGCATTACGAGTATATTGTGGGGTAAGTTGTGTACACCCAGAATACATCGTAGGGCAAGATGAGAGCACTACGAGCATATTGTAGGGTAAAATAAGAGCACCACAAGTATATTGTATGGTAATATGAAAGCTCTAACACGAGCATGTTGTAGGGTAACTTGAGAACATCACAAGAATACCGTAAGGTAACAGAGCGCACTACAAGTATATGGTAGGTAAGCTGTGTACGCTCCGAGTACATCGTAGGGTAAAATGAAAGCACCACAAGTATATTGTATGGTAATATGAAAGCTCTAACACGAGCATGTTGTAGGGTAAGTTGAGTACTTCACGAGCATATCGTAGGTAAGATGAGTGCACTACGAGTATATCGCAGGCTTTGGAATGAAGTTCCCCATTGGTATTTAAATAGGAGTATAACCGGCAAGCCATATATAGTTACAGTGGCATATCGACCAACCTTAGACTGCTGCTGATTAATGGAGACTACAAACTACTTAGTAGTATTCCACTATTTACGAATTAATTAAATAATTATCTAGATATGCTTCTGTTATCGCTATGACAAGCTGATATTCTAAATTGAAGAGGTATTTATACTGTCTTGTAAATATTTTAAACATATATAACTATACTTTCTTATTTGTATTCTCATCTGTGACAATTTATTGTCACAGAAACGATTGTCATTTTGATGGAGTATGCCTACCAATGCCTACTAGATTGTACATTTTACGCTGTGCGTTTAGGTATCTAGTAGGCGCATCCATCATGCTGTAATCGCAAGTTGACGCTTTAAAATCCCGATCAACGGGTTAATTGATCCCATGTTCCCTTAACGGAGATTTAGCCTGTCTGGATGTCGTAGCTTGCGATTATGGCGTATTGCCGAAACCGTATTATTGTCCCTTTTTGCGAATGCATGGATACTTAATGTGCAAGTATGAATGCACAGTTCGCAACGACGACAAATGCGGGGCCGACATTAATTATTGTGCTTTATCAATTATGCATGTAAAGCTCGAGTCTGCTACCAGTTGCGGCACACACAGAAAATCGATAATTCACCAACAACGTTCTTAGGAATAACTAATGAAAACTCTGAATAGAAACGTTTTTATAAAAAATATAACTGAGTGACTAAATGAACAGTTAAAAGCTCTAAAATTTTGCAAAAACATGGAACCAAGAATGTATCTCCAAATGATTAATAGATGAAAACCATAGTTTGATATAACTTTGAGAAAAGGTAATTTTATTATCAAAGTATTAATATAGGTAATATACTTGTTAGGTATATTGTTATCAACCCTTATTGCATAATTTAGTAAAAAAATGCAGTATTATATGAAAAATTCAGAATTCTGTAATGATTAAATCAGAAAGTTAACCGTATTCTGTTCGAAAATATGCCCTGAAACACAAATATTTATTTTCTCTCTTATTTAATTTGAGTAACTATAAGAGACCAAACCAACTTTGATGTATACATATATGTATAATTGTTATATTTATAAGTATACCTATATATCTAGAACTATCTCTTAGATAACTGTTCACAAATAGTTTGGTTCAGCATGTACATCCTCAATTACTTGTTGATGTTCTTACACAGCTTAAGCCTAGTTAGATCAAACGTCAAGGATTCTTCCTTTTATTCCTACATTTTCCAGTAATAGATTTTAATATTTTTGATTCCTTTTCACTGGTTTTTGTTCATTTTTTGTTCTACCAATGAACGTTCCCTTCTTAATACAAAATATTCATCACGGCAGTTCTTATTATTATCACTCGCAACAGCTAGTTTTTCCCTCACCTAATGGGAGTGTTACTAATTTATAACAAACTCAACGGACTTCATTCTGCCATTCATAAAATTGTGTTCGTAAAAATAAATTTCATAATAAGAGTTTTAATAAACGATAATATATATTATTTTTCACAAAGTTCAAGTACGCTTCGGTAGGTATACGAGGGTGGATTGATAAGTTTCCGGCCTAACCAAGAGATGACGCCACTAGGCCTACCTTGAGGTGACATTCTATAGTACCNGATAAAATTAATTCAATTCACTTTTAATTAAATCAATAATGCAAATATTCCCAGAATAAACGAAATAAAATTGTGAGTTTCGGTTATAGCCTGTATACTAGTTTTTAACGAATATTTGAATTTTAGTTTGCCTTATATATAGTGAAAATTTACACAAGACTTGTATAATGGTCAGCAAAGGGTGCTGCCCTAGTTTACCATTAAATATTCCAATAACAAAAGGCTGGAAATTTGCACAAATGCAATATGTGCATGGATGTGTTTTCAACTATAAAATTTATTTCATGTTCAATAGTGCAAAAATAATAAATGGTAAATAATTTGAAAGTTGTCCGAAAGCTTTTAGAGCCATTGTAATTACATTCATGTATAGTTGGGACGTTAAAAATTGGCATGGTTCGCAATTAAACTGTTGCATTTACTTTCTTCTTTAACAAGGACATGTTGAAAATACGGTTTCGCATAGCCTTTTATAAGTTAAATGTTTGCTAGTTGATTCCCGTAACTTTGCTGGCATAGACAGAGCTGTACAGCATAAAGGCGCTCACGTAAATCATGCGCAGCCGTTGCTAACTTTACAATGAGGCAGAAGTAGAAACTTGTTCTGTCTCTCGCACATGTGCATCGCATCAGTTGCATTACTTTCGGCCGTTAGGACTATCGTTATCGCCTACGTTTATGAAAATCTATTTCATTTGTATACCTGATGCGCTTGGTTGAAACCCTCCTAAATTCGTGGGCGCATTCCCTAAAACTCTGTAAATTATATCAATGCGACTCAAAGGGATGCTATAACAATATTAAGGTGGATCAAACGATTAGAAAGGGAAATATGCTCGCAAAAGCTCCAATGGAAAGCTTTTTTAATATAGTCGGAAAGCTGTAAAAGCCGTTGTAAAATTGGCTACTTTCAGGCTATGTGCTTGTAGCAGAGAGGCATACATAATCTATCCAGCAAGCGAGAAACATGCAGTGCTAAAGTTATATAAGTGCGTTAGTATTAGTAATAGTTGAAAGTGCAAATAAATTGCATATTAGTAATACTGAACTCTATGATTATATATAGATATATATAGATATATTATAGATGGCGCATTGAACCATACCCGATGTGCTTTTTAGTTAGGTTAGGTACCTATTTTTATAGGTTAGATAATAAAAATTGAAAACTAGGGATTAGTTTGAAAGAAGAATATTGAAAAGGACAGTTCCCCGTAGAATTGTAAAGAAAAAATTGTCTTGATTTGTCTCTAAAGATTAATGACAGTTTAGTGACCCACTGACCCGTATAATCATAGATTTCAGAAACAATCAAAGCAACTATCACTTATGTGATGTTCAAAAAAACTTTAACTGTTATTTGTTTTAAATTTTCGCGTACCATTTTGTTAATATTGTGCGAATTACTTTGATTATGAAATATAAAACTACGTAAAAGCGTTAAAATAATAAATAGAACAAGATGTAAGTACCTTGAGCACCTGAAGAGCGGGAACACCAAAAACAGAGAACAATTACACATTCATTAGTATAAGAACACGAAAAAGGTATAGGTAAAGTTGTAGAATTATGTTATGGTACATCCAGGATGGTACAAATGTAGTGATTATGATCGATTGGCAAAAAAATGAATATAAATTATAATTAGTTACAAAGGATTTGTAGATAGACAGTTTAACAAATGCTGCATTTGGTAATATAATTATTAAATTTGTTTAAAAAATGTTAGCAATTGTACTTTTGGTAAAAGCTTTTAGACCAATTGGTGAACTGATGTTGTCCTCGCTTGTTGAAGGAGTAAAACTTTTTTATTTATGATTGATTATGATTTTAAATTTCCCCTTAGAGAAAACTACCTACTCTTTCAGTATGGATCCATAAATAAGTTCCATTTCCCTGGATTTCTATTAGAGAAAATTTTCTCCAGTCATTTCTTACTGTGATCCACATGCACACCAGAGCAAGGGCATATTCTACGTTTTAGAATGACGTTTCCGTTTTGTTTTACTGCTATAAAATTACTACCTTATGCAATGTCATTTAAAATAAATACAAATGTTAATGTCATCACTCTTCAGTCTTTTTTTTCCATTGAGTCTTTTAGTTATCGCCACTGTATTTTTACGGGTAAATTTTGTAAATACATATAAACAGCACTTTCTTGTCAGGAAGCAGCTCTTTTTGTTGTAAATAAGAGTGGAAGTTTGCTAGTAATTTATAGTGGACATGAGAACCACTACTAATGCAAGAGAGATGTTACAACTGGCAAAAGAATTTAATAACTGAAACTTTTGCTAAAACTAACTGAAATTGAGTGATATCACTATAATTTCTCTACTTCTAGAGAGTTTTGATATACGTAACTGTTGAGTTACAACTACTTAATTTAAGTAGTTAGGAAACATATTACTTATCACTGTTCAGTCATTTTTTCGTGCAGCATTCGTTAAACGATAAAGATGCTAATAATTTAATTAGAAACTAATTAAATCACCTGGAAAATCACGCTTATAGTTTTAAAATAGTAATAGTGTGATAAAATTGCATGTCGTATTGCAATATCTGCAATAGATTGAGCCACAATCATTATTTTGTCATGTGAACAACGATTATATAGTGTTGTCTGTTACAGCAGTCATGCTCAAAATGAGGGAAACATAGACACTTCAAGAAATCAATCTTTTGGAATGTAGTTTTTTTATAGTGGCCGAGTGTATGAGCGGCTTTAGTGTTCAAGTGTTTTGCTCTTTAATTTAAAAAAAGTAAAAAAAGGATAGCCCGAATAATGGTAAACTGTTAACGAAGGATGTCATATACAAACATCCACGTTACATTATTTATCGGATTTAGTTCGTAAAGGCATATCAAACAAATGAGAAAACAAAGCAATATTCACGTACCTAAATACGTAAAGGGTTTTAGTAAACGCCTACGTTTAAAACGTAGCCTTCGGATGAAAGCTATCGATGAGCACTATGTAGCAATAGAGAAGTGGAGAGAATCCGTACATTGTGGGCATCTATTATTGTTTGCAAATTGTCGGTCAAATTTAATTAACTGCATTGCAATAAGCTCGTGTGTTATCCGTTAAATTACGCACTTTCTGTAACTGAGAGTACGTGTTTTCCAAGCGATTGCCTATTTTACGGATCATGGCAACATAGTATGGAATAGAAAGAGAAGTCGGAAGCAGCCGATCACAGTTCTACAATCCTTTGATTTGAATAAACTCTATAAACGTATTACGTTACATAATGTTTCAATTAAATGTAATGGGTTCAAGTTAAGGTAAGTAGAAAGAAGTACCTTTCCGAAACAATGAGCTATGCAGTTCAACATATTTTGACAATAATGACCTATTGTTTTATACTGAATAAATCTTATTTGTTTTGGAAAGATTTTATTTCGTGTCTCTTTAAAAAATTAAAACCACCAACTCTCAAATAATTCTAACGTTTAAATTGCATTGTTTCTTATAACGAGGACAACCCTTTAACTCAGGATTCTGCAGTAGTTGTAGATGAACTGTTGTACTTAAACTTTCCATAGTGTATAGATATATTATAGGTTACCTACTCTTGATATTGATCGTTATTGATAAGAAAAACTTTACTTAAATAACAAACATTGACAAAACAACGAAAGGAACTTACAGGAAGTTTCCGGAAATAGTCAAGAATATTCTGTAACCGATGGGAGGGTGTCAAGAAAGTTACTGTAAATAGTATGCGAACAAATAATACGTATATCAATATAGAGTAATATAAATAGTGACTGTTAGGTAAATACTAGAACTATATATACCTAATGGAATAAATAACTTATAGGTATATACCAGATAAATAGATGCATTAGAAGATAGGTTACAATATGAATTAAGTCGTTCAAAAAATTCTGATTGAACTTATTTTATTGAACAAAGTAGCTACTCCTTCCCAAAGGAGGTTCGGATCCTGCAAGGATAATAGAAGCAATGACCGAGTATTGTGATAATCCTAGTACAAACAACTTTTGGTGGATTACCGAACCCATCGCAAAAAACCAAAATACTTGGATAAAGGGTGTCATCCTCGTATAAGAACTTATGGGGTTATAAAATACAGACAATGAAGTCTATAAAGGTCGTGAAACTATAGAACTTATACAGTTTAAAGGAGAGTTGTCCTTTAATATTCTTACAGTTGGTGTTGCCGTTGGGTAAGTAGATATTGTCCTTGCTGAAACTTGCTAACCAACTTTGTAGTGAATTGCTTCTATTTGTACCATGTATTAGAGAGGCTTGAACCGAACTAATTTCAGAGGAAACTATTTAAACTTGGTTACGATTTCATTTGAGGTAAACTAATAATACGATATTGTCGATTAAATTAATCAAATTTGTGGTGTTTCAAGCTTACCCTGATTAAACCCCTTAGAAATGGTAATTTAATTTAACTTTATGGTAGGTAGGTATCCAAATTTATCCATAAACCTACTCGTCCCTTCAGGTGTTATTTTATCATAAATATTAATTTATTATGATGGACTGATTTGCAATATGACAAACAAATATTTAAGTTATTAACCAATGGTAAACATCCAATTTTTGGCCAGTGATCTATCAAAAATGTGTCCATTGATCTCATTAGCACGCCGTGGACTTGACAGAACAGTAATCAATTAACTTGTTGACTTTAAACAGCGTCTACCAAATAACTACTAACTGCGTGATGTACGCCATCTGTAGAAATTTGTTAGTAACTGTAGGTTCATTAGTGTTTGACAAGGTCCTTTATTTATTAAGGATATTGACTGGTTAAACTGAATCCTTAGTGTATTCCTAACAAAACAATAGTACTCGGATCTATTGTAGAGGGTAAATATGATAAATTTTATTATCATAAATATAACTAGTTCTTCCCCACTTCGAATTATTTTATTAGTTCTTCCCCCTTATAAGTCAGTGTGAGTTCGAAACTATTAGGACCATTGCTTCGAGTGGCCGAAATTTACTTTTCTGAACAATTTGTGTAATGACTTTCTTTGTATTAAAAATTGTTTGAAAAATTAAATTTGAAGGAATTGTTTGTAAATAGGTATGCAACACGTCGTACACTTCAGCATAAGAAATTGCTGATACTAACTACGTAATACTATTACTTTGACCTGTGCTGACAGCACTCATAATTTATTTTATATACTTATATTAATAAGTGAAATCAGCTGCTTTTCGACTTTTATCTCATTATCCGTCGGATTAATTTGTAGAATTTGTTAGTGAATAAACTGAACCCTACACTAACAAGAATTAAGAACAGGAGAGACCCTGATTATCAATTAAGTAGCATGAGATGTCAGTCTGTGATGTAAATACTATATGTATATGTGTATTTGTAGAAGTGCGTATGTCTATGTTTACTCGACTTACCAAATCCGACACGAGAGGTATCGATTTCCGGCGGGGCCTGATATCCGGCATACTGTCGATGTTGCTGTAAAACGGATTGTCTCCAGGATGTCTGAAACAAAATAGAATGGAGGCGTAGTCGTAAAGTCAAAAGCTATCCTATTTATTTGCAATTAAATCTACCATTAACTTGTTCACAATAAAAAAGAAGCTAGTGAAGCGCAAGTGGGACTGACTTCAACTCTTCATTTTAAAATTAAGTTCTCAAATAGCTTTCAGATTACTTGCAAGTTTTTCCCCTATTACACAATAATGGAGTTGTAATATAATAATATATGTCTAAAAGGCATGATTTTAATGATCCCCCCCCCGAGGGTTAATTTAACTCCAAAAACAAAAAGAAGCATGTTTGGACTCTACTTAATGCAACCGTTTTCCAAAATAAACAACAGTTATATGTCTTATCTTAACTAGAATTGTACAGAGGAGGATGGAAAAAAGGGCGGAAGAACTATTAGGGGAAGATCAATTTGGGTTCAGAAGAAATAGAGGAACGCGGGAGGTCATTAGAGAAAACGATAGAAAAATGAAAGAGTGCGTATATAGGATTTGTGGATTTAGAAAAGGCTTTTAAAAAAAGACAATGTTAATTGGGACAAAGTGTTAAATAAACCTAAAAATGTAGGGATGAGTTACAGAGATAGAATAGTGATACTTAGTTCGTATAAGGAGCAACAGGCAGTTATAGAGCTGGGGCTGCAACGTAGAGAAGTAAATATGTTTTGAGCGCGGTGCTGTATGCGTTCGAAATGTGATAGAGGATAGAGAAGGTTGGAAATGAAGAGGTATTAGAAAGAATAGGAGAACTGAGGACTCTATGGAAGTCCATAAGAAATAGGCGAGATGGGTTAATAGGACACCTTCCCAGGCATGAAGATCTAGTCAGAGACATATTACGGACAGAAACGGTAGTTAGAAGTGGGCTTAGATTATATTACTGTTGGCAAATGGTTAAGGATGCAGGTTGTTTTAGTTTTAGGGAAATGCGCGAATTAGCTCAGGATAGGAAAGAGTGGAAGTGCGTGTCCAACCAGTCTTAGGACTGACGACTTTATGATGATGATATGTTGGTATTTAAACTAAAGTAAAATGTTCTTTAGCAAACATATAAACAAGGGCAAATGGATTAATGTAGTTCTTTCACGTAGACTTTCCGACAACTTCCGGTTTTCAACTTTCAGGAAGTTTTCTGGTGATGCGTACCTACAGCACTTAGTGAAAGAGGTTCAATGAATGGTCGACTGCTTTCTATTGACCCTAAGAAATGTATTGCACGAGCTCTTTCATTCCACACTACACATCTTTCATGAGAGTGACATCAATGCAACCTGCATTGTACGAGGGTGGATTGATAAGTTTCCGGCCTAACCAAGAGATGACGCCACTAGGCCTACCTTGAGGTGACATTCTATAGTACCATCCTTGGATAGCTTGTAGCTATAGTTTCAGCCCGATCTCCTTGCTAGTGTAGGTTTGACAGCACGCTGAACAAGACGCCTCTGTGGTTTTCGTAAAAATGGAAAAGCAGGAAAATCGTGCTGTCATCAAATACTTTTATTTGAAGGGGTTAACGCCGAAGGTGATTAAAAAAGAGATGGACTCAACACTGGGGACATCCTCCCCGTCATATTCAACCGTTAAGCAGTGGGTTTCCGAGTTTAAAAAGGGTCGTGTGAGCACCTCTGATGGGCCTCGCTCAGGACGCCCCGTTGAGGTCACAACTCCAGATATGATCGAAAAAATTCATCAAATAGTGCTGGGAGACCGCAGATTGAAAGTGCGTGAGATAGCTGAGACCTGTAAGATGTCATATGAACGTGTGCAACATATTTTGCACCAACATTTGCATATGGAAAAGCTCTGTGCAAGATGGGTGCCGCGTTTGCTAACAGTCGACCAAAAATTGATTCGAAAAAACATTTCTACCGCAAATTTGTCATTGTATAAGCGTAATCCAAGCGAATTTTTGCGTCGATTCGTAACCGTTGACGAAACGTGGGTCCACCACTACACTCCTGAAACCAAAGAACAGTCTAAACAGTGGATTGGACCAGGGGAACCAACTCCAAAGAAGGCAAAAACAATTTTTTCGGCGAACAAGGTTATGGCTACTGTTTTTTGGGATGCAAGAGGTATTATATACATTGATTACCTTGCAAAGGGTAATACTATCACTGGTCAATACTACGCAGACTTATTGCAACGTTTGAGCCACGAGGTGAAAATTAAACGACCTCATCTGGCGAAGAAAAAAATCTTGTTTCATCACGATAACGCACCAGCGCACACGTCAATCGTTGCGACGGCTAAAATCAACGATCTAAAGTTTGAATTGATGCCGCACCCTCCTTACTCTCCAGACCTAGCCCCGAGTGACTATTTTCTGTTCCCTAATCTCAAAAAATGGCTTGGCGGTAAGAGATTTGCGGACAATGAAGAAGTAATCGAAGCTGTAAATGGTTATTTTGAGGAGCTTGACGAATCAGTCTATAGAGATGGCATTAATAGACTGGAACACCGCTATGAGAAATGTATCAGCCTTGGAGGAGATTATGTTGAGAAATAAAAAAAAAAAATTTTTAAAAACCTTGTTTTTCTTGGTCAGGCCGGAAACTTATCAATCCACCCTCGTATATATCATCTTACTTCTTATTTCTGATATTTTTTTAGTGCAATAAATGCTTCGGTCTTTATATTTCTCCTTTCTATTGACTTTCATGTTCAAATTTTAACTGCCATTGTTTATATTTTATAACGGATTGTAAAATTGTTTACTAGTTCTGATAAAACAATAACAACGATAGGGAAAATTTGGTGCCTACTTATTTAGATTAGTGGCTAAAACGAGTACTGCTTCTTATAATCGTAAGGGTTCCTTAAGACTTATAAAAATAAGTTTCCCTCTTCAATGTTTGTGTTTTGATCCGGAAAATTATCCATATTCTTACAGTCAGTAGGTAGGGTAGATGACAGTACTACCACGAGCATGTTATGGGGTAAGTTGAGTACATCCCGAGTATATCGTAGGGTATGATGAGTGTACTACAAGTATATTGTAGTTGTATACATCCCGAGTACATCGTAATAGTAAGATGGAAGCACTACGAGTATGTAGTAAGGTAAGATGACAGCACTAACACGAGCATGTTGTAGGATCAGTTGAGTACATCACGAGTATATCGTAGGGTATAATGAGTGCATTACGAGTATATTGTGGGGTAAGTTGTGTACACCCAGAATACATCGTAGGGCAAGATGAGAGCACTACGAGCATATTGTAGGGTAAAATAAGAGCACCACAAGTATATTGTATGGTAATATGAAAGCTCTAACACGAGCATGTTGTAGGGTAACTTGAGAACATCACAAGAATACCGTAAGGTAACAGAGCGCACTACAAGTATATGGTAGGTAAGCTGTGTACGCTCCGAGTACATCGTAGGGTAAAATGAAAGCACCACAAGTATATTGTATGGTAATATGAAAGCTCTAACACGAGCATGTTGTAGGGTAAGTTGAGTACTTCACGAGCATATCGTAGGTAAGATGAGTGCACTACGAGTATATCGCAGGCTTTGGAATGAAGTTCCCCATTGGTATTTAAATAGGAGTATAACCGGCAAGCCATATATAGTTACAGTGGCATATCGACCAACCTTAGACTGCTGCTGATTAATGGAGACTACAAACTACTTAGTAGTATTCCACTATTTACGAATTAATTAAATAATTATCTAGATATGCTTCTGTTATCGCTATGACAAGCTGATATTCTAAATTGAAGAGGTATTTATACTGTCTTGTAAATATTTTAAACATATATAACTATACTTTCTTATTTGTATTCTCATCTGTGACAATTTATTGTCACAGAAACGATTGTCATTTTGATGGAGTATGCCTACCAATGCCTACTAGATTGTACATTTTACGCTGTGCGTTTAGGTATCTAGTAGGCGCATCCATCATGCTGTAATCGCAAGTTGACGCTTTAAAATCCCGATCAACGGGTTAATTGATCCCATGTTCCCTTAACGGAGATTTAGCCTGTCTGGATGTCGTAGCTTGCGATTATGGCGTATTGCCGAAACCGTATTATTGTCCCTTTTTGCGAATGCATGGATACTTAATGTGCAAGTATGAATGCACAGTTCGCAACGACGACAAATGCGGGGCCGACATTAATTATTGTGCTTTATCAATTATGCATGTAAAGCTCGAGTCTGCTACCAGTTGCGGCACACACAGAAAATCGATAATTCACCAACAACGTTCTTAGGAATAACTAATGAAAACTCTGAATAGAAACGTTTTTATAAAAAATATAACTGAGTGACTAAATGAACAGTTAAAAGCTCTAAAATTTTGCAAAAACATGGAACCAAGAATGTATCTCCAAATGATTAATAGATGAAAACCATAGTTTGATATAACTTTGAGAAAAGGTAATTTTATTATCAAAGTATTAATATAGGTAATATACTTGTTAGGTATATTGTTATCAACCCTTATTGCATAATTTAGTAAAAAAATGCAGTATTATATGAAAAATTCAGAATTCTGTAATGATTAAATCAGAAAGTTAACCGTATTCTGTTCGAAAATATGCCCTGAAACACAAATATTTATTTTCTCTCTTATTTAATTTGAGTAACTATAAGAGACCAAACCAACTTTGATGTATACATATATGTATAATTGTTATATTTATAAGTATACCTATATATCTAGAACTATCTCTTAGATAACTGTTCACAAATAGTTTGGTTCAGCATGTACATCCTCAATTACTTGTTGATGTTCTTACACAGCTTAAGCCTAGTTAGATCAAACGTCAAGGATTCTTCCTTTTATTCCTACATTTTCCAGTAATAGATTTTAATATTTTTGATTCCTTTTCACTGGTTTTTGTTCATTTTTTGTTCTACCAATGAACGTTCCCTTCTTAATACAAAATATTCATCACGGCAGTTCTTATTATTATCACTCGCAACAGCTAGTTTTTCCCTCACCTAATGGGAGTGTTACTAATTTATAACAAACTCAACGGACTTCATTCTGCCATTCATAAAATTGTGTTCGTAAAAATAAATTTCATAATAAGAGTTTTAATAAACGATAATATATATTATTTTTCACAAAGTTCAAGTACGCTTCGGTAGGTATACGAGGGTGGATTGATAAGTTTCCGGCCTAACCAAGAGATGACGCCACTAGGCCTACCTTGAGGTGACATTCTATAGTACCATCCTTGGATAGCTTGTAGCTATAGTTTCAGCCCGATCTCCTTGCTAGTGTAGGTTTGACAGCACGCTGAACAAGACGCCTCTGTGGTTTTCGTAAAAATGGAAAAGCAGGAAAATCGTGCTGTCATCAAATACTTTTATTTGAAGGGGTTAACGCCGAAGGAAATTAAAAAAGAGATGGACTCAACACTGGGGACATCCTCCCCGTCATATTCAACCGTTAAGCAGTGGGTTTCCGAGTTTAAAAAGGGTCGTGTGAGCACCTCTGATGGGCCTCGCTCAGGACGCCCCGTTGAGGTCACAACTCCAGATATGATCGAAAAAATTCATCAAATAGTGCTGGGAGACCGCAGATTGAAAGTGCGTGAGATAGCTGAGACCTGTAAGATGTCATATGAACGTGTGCAACATATTTTGCACCAACATTTGCATATGGAAAAGCTCTGTGCAAGATGGGTGCCGCGTTTGCTAACAGTCGACCAAAAATTGATTCGAAAAAACATTTCTACCGCAAATTTGTCATTGTATAAGCGTAATCCAAGCGAATTTTTGCGTCGATTCGTAACCGTTGACGAAACGTGGGTCCACCACTACACTCCTGAAACCAAAGAACAGTCTAAACAGTGGATTGGACCAGGGGAACCAACTCCAAAGAAGGCAAAAACAATTTTTTCGGCGAACAAGGTTATGGCTACTGTTTTTTGGGATGCAAGAGGTATTATATACATTGATTACCTTGCAAAGGGTAATACTATCACTGGTCAATACTACGCAGACTTATTGCAACGTTTGAGCCACGAGGTGAAAATTAAACGACCTCATCTGGCGAAGAAAAAAATCTTGTTTCATCACGATAACGCACCAGCGCACACGTCAATCGTTGCGACGGCTAAAATCAACGATCTAAAGTTTGAATTGATGCCGCACCCTCCTTACTCTCCAGACCTAGCCCCGAGTGACTATTTTCTGTTCCCTAATCTCAAAAAATGGCTTGGCGGTAAGAGATTTGCGGACAATGAAGAAGTAATCGAAGCTGTAAATGGTTATTTTGAGGAGCTTGACGAATCAGTCTATAGAGATGGCATTAATAGACTGGAACACCGCTATGAGAAATGTATCAGCCTTGGAGGAGATTATGTTGAGAAATAAAAAAAAAAAATTTTTAAAAACCTTGTTTTTCTTGGTCAGGCCGGAAACTTATCAATCCACCCTCGTACATCTTATTTTTCAGGAAATCGATAAAGATTCTTCGCACAAATAGCTAATGAAACTTTGTGAATCATAACGTGGAAGTAATTACATCGAGGTGGCCCTGTGAGAATCAAATTGATTTACATTAAGACTTACAAACCTAGAGAATATCGAGATCTCTACGACACCCTAGAGCCTTCGGGAGATGAACACATGTTGCGAAAGTTATCTCTGGATTTCTCAAGAGACGCCGTCCAAAATTACCGAGTGCAAAGATGAAAGGTCATTGGTAAAAAGAAAACAAAAAACAATCGCGCCTCTTCGCATATTGAATAGTTTCGATAGCGATAAAACGAATGCCTGAGGGACGAAATAGAATTCCTGACATGGTTCGATTGGCAGAGGCTTTGAAAGAAGGACAATAAGGAAAAAACGGAACTGATTTTCCTTGTTGACACTTACATTTCTTCGACTTACGCAGTTATTCACATTTGGGTACTTATTAGGTTGTTACTAATGTTTGATTACGTATATCAGGAAGAAGGTCGAAAGTATAAAAAAGCAGGTCTTTCGGGAATAAATAATTCATCATTTATTTACAGTATAGGGCCCCGTTTTCAATAAGGATATTGGTGTATTATTTATTCGTAGCTTTCAATCCTTTAGATAATAGAATCCAGTAAAACATGGGTCAACTGACTGCAGCCTTTTTAGAGAAAAGCCATTCAAGATTTCTGGAATGCCCATAAAATTTTATTAAGGTAAATAGTTAATTTTTGGAGCAATTTAATTATAGAATAACTAAGGGAATGGGATATTATGTTTATTAAGGGAACAATCTTGAATTTTATTTATGGGAAGATTAAAAAACGCGACGTAGTTGGAAACTTCTCGTATACAAATCTTAAAGTCAAGGATGTTAAAACAGCTCGAAAAAGAATTCTTGTAAACTTGGGAATAAGCTTTCCAACATAGAAAATTATTATTTATTGGCCAATAAAAACTACGACCGCAGTGGGTATACTGTTTTTCGTTATTTTTTGCTATTAACCTTCAGGGAAAGTTCGTGATAACATTCTATATTCATGTAAAATAATACATTTATAAGTAGACTATAACTAATAAAATTATATTTTCTATTGATTTGTAAAAGATTATCAGACCAATAAAATTGCATTTTATCTTTTTTGGTAGTCTTAAACGTTCATGTTCAATGTTAATGTATGGCTCATGCTAAAGAAAGGTTTTATTGTTAAATAAGGAATACAGGAAATTAATAAACTTACCCATCTGCTCGTCCACCTGAGTCTCCACCGATCCCGCATCCATTCTAAAAAAAAAAAACAAAAGAAAAAAAATTAATAAATATCAACAAAGCTACTAAATCTACAAACACGTGTATTTTTCAAGTACACCAAAAACTTTTACATTTTCCTATTATACAGATTAATAACAATATGTGCAAACTTGTACATATGTAGTATTACCAATATTAACTTATAAATAAATATCAAAACAATATTTCGTAACAACAATTAACAAACAACAAAATATTTGATTAGGTACGAACATGTCACTAATAGGTAATAATATTTATTTCTTTACATCTGTAGAAACTCGCCCTGTAAATTATATCGTAGTATTGGTTACTCGCTCTTCAAGACTAAAATAACAATAAAAAATACCTAACTACAGAAGTATTATATGGTTCTTTAGGTTTACATAAAGTATTAGTGAATGAAAAAGTAGGTACTACAAGACCTTACATCACACGTTATAGTAGGTATATGTTAATCTGCAGGATTACTGATTTTACCATGGCAGCACAAAATAAGGACATAAATTTTTGTGAAAAGAGTAGCGAAAAAGTTTATTTGATAGGTAAATCTAAGTTGGTATTTTAACTCATGCCAGAAGCATCCCAATTGTGTCATAAATCGAAGAATGTGTATGGATTTAGCTTTTCACTGAACTGATGTAACTAATACGTATACCTGTAGAAATGTTTGTAAATTTAAATAAGGAAAATTCATTAAGCAGTTACGATCAGTTAGTAGAGAATCCTTTGGCAATATCTTTAGTAAAAAATTCTACCTCAAAAGAGACAAAAAGGGCCGATATATATTTTTAGAAAGCATGTTCCACTTTTTACAATAAATCCTAGACTTAACGACAACGATAAATGTTTGATTTTAAATGCCGATAGTATAACTTATTCCTCAGATATATTTTTCCAGAAAAGGGAAATCCTTTGCCGACAATGCCGTTGATAATGTTATTTAAATTTACCATTTAAAAATCCTATTAAAGAAATGAGCAATTAAGGCAACAAAAATTCAAAATTTTCATTACACACACTAACTTTATTACATTATAAGTAAAGCATGTTGTAAGAATTTTAAATTATTGGAATCTGGAATATCACATTTATCTAAAAAACAACGGTTTAAATAATTTACTTTTGAATATAAACATATTTTAACCATCATAACATGAAATGTAAACGAATCTCTTTTTGCAAATAAATTAATAGTTACAGACTAACAGCTTTATTGAATTTGCTTTTTATAACTGTTGTAATTTACTATACACTTTCGTTGTTACATCAGCATGGACATGGAATTTTTTATGCAAAAGAAATCCTTTAAGGCGCATAAGCACATTGGTGTGACATCTGTGATCGAAGTTACTGTAGTTCTAAGGCGCTCGGGGTACTACACATCTATTATTGTAAGATTATCTACGTGGCACATATTGGTGCTGGTAAATGACAGCAAAATAATGATATCAAAATTTAACTAAAAAATAATTTAAAACAATGAACTGCTTTAATTACAACTATATTTAAGACAATTGGAAAACCATTATCTGTATAACGATAGCATATTAATATAGACTAACTGGGTGGTTTTTGCTAAAAAGGGATAAATAACGTTTAATTCTTATTGTAATAATATTACGTATGTTTTACAGGGCAAGTTCGTTAGAAAATATTGGTAGAGTAACAAAAATTACCAATCGTAATAGTCTTTGTATACCTATATATATAGCACAAAATTGTTTCATGTAAAATCGTTTAAAAAATACAAAATATTACGTTACATATCCTTATTGCAATTGTAATATCTAAGCAAGCGTCTCTATTATTTTGGGGGGTTAACACATTATCTACGCCATTATGAAATGTTGACGATATGAAACATGATATGAACGAATGAACTTGATGATGATCATGATATGAACATAAACTTCCGATAAAGTAGAAAATTGGTCTTTAAAGAATTTATTTTCTATATTACGAAGTAGCCTTTATGTTTATGATAGTTTTACATGCAGACGGAATCGAATGTTAATAATTACCGAAGATATTCCGTGTTGCTTTCTTTCTTTTTCTTGATACAAAACAACCTTTTAGTATAATGTAGGTAGCAGTCATTAAAATGAATGTTACATGACTGACAGTAAATGTAATTGTGTTATATTGCATCAAAAGTATCGACTAATGGAGGTACTTATTTATATACGTTTGAATAACAATGTACGATTTACGATCCAGGTGATGTAGGTCATAAGGTGATTTAACTATAGATTTTTTGTTCAAATTTCAATTTTGACGTGACAACGTCATATGATTCGATGGAGCCGGCTGCGCGCCCCAAAAAACATGACTCATGCGGCGTTACCTCGCTCTGAGGCGTTCCATTTAAGGCTTGAAGTGCAAGCGAGAGCGCGGAACGAGCGACAAAGAGGCACAATCGGCCTCCGCGTTCGGCAGCGTTCGACATCTGTCTCTTTCCTACTTGAATGAGCGATGCGAGCTGCTATACAATAATACATTTACATGTTTTCGTCAAGCATGAAGTGCAGTGAAAAGTGAATGTGGTGTCAATTGTTTATAGCAACGATAATTGCGGCGATAAAGGTAATGATTCTTTCGATATTAAATATATGTTCAGTGATATATTGTCGAATTGAAGCTAGAGTTACAAAAATTTTAATGATGTTTAAAAGTCGTAAATAAAAGTTGTAAAACAATTACTCAAAGCACATTCATACTTGTAAAAACTATGTACATTGGAAAAAAAATAAATAAAAATTGACATAATTGTATTTATGCGTACAAATAAATGTAACTTGATCAATTCAATTGGGATTTCCATTTACCCCCATCTCTATATCCATAAAAAATATCTATCAAACAAATAAAATTAAAATTTTCTTTTGAAAAATGAAACCATTCCATCAGTATTTTCTTATGACGTTGTCACGTTCAACTATCGTCAGTAAATCGACTTTACAGACAACCGATTTTTTTTTCAATCATATTACCTGAAACGTAAAAGTTGTTTAATTTTAGATAGAAAGGATACCCTAAAATTCGGTATCCAAAATTAGGAACCCAATTAAACATCCTGTTTTATTCCTATTTCTCCTCCGTTCTAATTCACCTAATGCGCCTAAGTAGCTTACTCTCAATTCCAATTTTTCTCATCACCCTGTCATTAATTTACTCAGTCGAAAAATAAAAGCACTACATCCCGGATCGTAAAACATCTGAGCTTAATCGATTCGATGCCTTGAAAGGGAGAGTTTGTTTCCCTTTCCTCCATTCTTCGACGGGCCACGCGACGAACACGGAACAACGGCGTAAAAGGGCGAGGGGAACAATATTATGAACTGAGTAGAACACATTTCTCCTCATCGAAACCCCTTCATATCGAAAATTGGAATTACATAAGTTTCAATAGCCAGTTGAAACTTCTAACAATATCAAAATTCGGAGAAGCGGTTCGACGTTTCTGCCAAATTAAGGATCAATTGGAGTGATATTTGAAGGCATTAGTCTGAAATATTACAACTGCTATGGGATTTACGCTGTTCAACATCATTTAATTCCATTTGGACGTGGAAACTAATGAACATTTTACTTTGCGTTTGTTGTTTACTAATTAAAACTTATTTACTCGTTATCTGCATTGTTTGTGTTTAAAGTATGAACGAGGCCATCATGAGCCTTAATTATATCTCTTTTCAGACGATAAGCCATATGAAAGATCCTAAAACAACTACGGGATGTATCGGGTCCCGAATTTCCAAGATCCGCTACTGACTACGCGTCCGATTGCATATAGATTGTGCCCGATAGGGGGTTGATATTTGATACATATTTCAACAAGCAGATTTATGACGATACATACAAAAATAGATCCCATATTCGACACCATCTAGGAGCTGAACATCGCCGGCTTATAATTACTACAGAATTAGTATTATCGTTAGTTGAATTCAATTCAATTTTGATAGAGGTTCCAATAACAAATAACTGGCTTTTTAAATGGCATGACTACTAGAACGTTAGAATTTATTAGTAGGAGTTTTTCTTTCAAGCAGAAAAAGTTAATTCTTGATAATCGTCCAATTATAAATATAAATTAATGACGTATTAAGAGGTGTCTTTATGAAAACAAATTGCTACTACCTTTATGAGAAAACTTTATTGCCTATATAGAAGGTCAAAACAACATGGTATTAATTTCTATTGTAAAACTGCTTTTATTCACCTATTCTTTTCGAAATATTTGGTAAAAGGTCAAACTTCGAATTAAATATTAATATCTCATGTCCCGCAGCAGTTGTAACAAGGGGAATATTTTTGCGGGTGGCTCGAAATAAAAAATGTGCTATAATGAATTTACTAGAGGATGTCAGACACATTTATAAACAAGTATGTATGTATCTAATATATGTCGTAAAGCGTAAATTAATGTACCAAATTGTTAATCAAAATTGACTTTTGTGTTGTGGAAACCATCAATAGTCTTTCCGAATAATAATCTAATACTGTTAACTTCTCTTTATTATTGTATAAAAACGAAGTGAATGACGTAGCACACAAACCATTCTGCGTTTTTTTTTTTTTTAAGCGCAACATTTTCTACAAACCTTTCGTCGCAGGATTACAATTCAGCTTCGCGATTTCGATCTCATTAAATCTCATAGCCAGTCTCGATTAACCACTAACCAAACCGATCAACCCCCTAAAGAGTGAGTTTACATAATATCCAAGTATAGGCAGTAGTCGCCATGTACAGGATATTTGGACCTAATGAAGTTAGACAAGGTCTTACTAAGGCATCAACTTGCCTGACTGAATCGACGATTTTGATAAGAACGTTTATTCTATCGATAAATTTTTCTGACCAGTTTTTATTTGAAAATATTAATATTAGTGAATCTTTCTAGAATATCAACAACAAAAAAATTTATCTAGGAATTAAGAATGTCCTTTATGGTGCACACCATTGTCAAATTTCTTTTGAGGCTTCAAACAGCTACTACACATCAAACAGTTTCCATCTTCTTTGGTTGTGGTATTTATTCGCTTGAAAAAGCAGTTAACAATTACTCAAGACTAACAACAAAATGACACAATTGGAAACGTTTTTTTTGCGGCTATGTTTTTTGATGGTCTGTGATCAAAGAAAAATTTAATAGTGTTTTTACAATGAGGCAACATCAAAGGAATTTTTCAAGTTGGTAAAATTACATTCGTTAGGGCGCTTGCCTCTTCTTTTATGTTTTCCAAAGCAATTCTACAATTCTTATAGTATGAAAATTGCTAAATTGGAAACACACCACACGCACACCTACACACATAACACACACACACACACACCTACACACATAACACACACACACACAAAAACACACACATTCCTCGGACGGTTGGGTGCCTTTTGAAGATATCCCCTCTTCAGAATTAGTGGAAAGTTAGTGTAACTTTTGAAACTGTGATATTTATAAAAAAAAAAACAAAATAAACTACTCTTTTATTCTCACATTTTTGTTCTAAATTGATGGATACACAGTAAAACTGCTGTCCTGTTGTGTAAATGGACGGTACATCTGACATCCTTTAGTTGTTTTAACGTGATACGATTTGTTGAATTACCAATTCCCCCGAGAGTGTTTCTTAGTCTACGAATAATTGACAAAAAGCTGTTTGCAGGTTTTAGTGTTCGCTTTTCAAGCAACATTGTACTTCGCTGATTTAGTTGAAAGCAAATGGATACTATTTTATTTACCTCTTTTAGGTAATCTCTTATTAGAAACGAATTTTAAAACACTTTCTTTTCATTGTTACCTGTTAGTTGGATATTTTCTTCTACAGAATTCTGATACAAAAAAAATTACATTAAAATGATTTAGAATAATGAACAACTAAAATAAAATAAATAAAAATTTCTTTTGCTATCTTTAATAAGTGTGTTTATCACACTTCTTCGTTAACCGGAGGTAATTTATTTAAGCGACCTTCTTATACCAGATAAACTAAATGCTTTAGGACGAATAGTAGCGAATTTTCGACGCATGCGCGTTTACGAACTACTTATCTTCCAAAGTGCCATCCTAACATGTTTAGTGCAATAAGTGCAGTAATAACATACTTTTGAGGGTAATAAATTCCATTTCTAATAACAGTGTAGAACAAGGGCGAAGTGAAAATGTAAATGAAGTGATGTCGTTTGATTCTATCTAACAGATTGCCTTCTGTGTATGCGCTATGCTATCATCAGTTTTGATGCTTTTACAAATTTGCCCTACTAAACTCCATTGAAGCTGTCTGCAAGTTAGTTGCCAAATGCTTTTACTAAGAAGAATTCAATACACATTAACTTCCGTTGCGTCCATATTTATCGCAAGCGAAATCTTCTCTGAAAAATTAGTAACATACAATTCAATGATACATTACTGTTAATAGTCCTAGCATTTACGAGCCTTGACCCAGTGAATCTCCTATTTGGAAATCTCTTACGTTGAATGGAATTTTTATAAAATCAATATGGTAATAGTAATATTATAATGAAAAAATATGAATATACCAAAATAAATTTCAACTACCAACTTAAATGAGCAGTTAAGTCAAAGCTCACAAATAATGTACTGTAGTAAATATGTTTATAAAAACATTAAAATTGTAAAAAACGACTTATTTTAGTATGCTTTTGTTAGACATTAATAAATAACTGTAGCTAGAATAGCAAGCGCCATCTGTACAGATTTACCAGATACTGCGGATTTATTAGTTTTTGCATTATATTAGAATGACGTTTCAACTTATTTTCTGAAAGTCTGTCTCAATACTCACATTATCTTTCTCTGGAACTGGTTCGGAAGTTTTGTCTTGATTGGTCTTTTCTTCTGCTTTGCGTTCTTTGAGAGCTTTGAGCAATTTCCATCTGCTGGTTGCATCTTTAGAAGATTCCGATTGTTGTGCATCATTCTTTTCGTCCTTATCAGAAGCAAAGTCTTTCAATTGCGCCTCGGATTGATTATCGATTCGCGGTTCGTTGTCATCTTCATTGAGCTGAGAAATTTTGGAACATAAAGCAAAATCAGCAGCCAAATCACCGTCATCGAACTCTTCAGGTTGCGGACTGTCCGGACCTGATGTCACACTTGAAGATTTTTCCTCGTATTCATCTTTTTCCGTATCATACTTCTCATCTTCGTTTTCACCTTGGTATTCGGCGGCGGGTGGCTCGTCTTGGAACTCTTCTTTTTCTGCTTCTCTTCGTTTGGCGGACGCTATAACTTGCATATTGTAGTCCTTTTCGTCCAAAACTCCTTCGACTATTTTAGTTTTCAATTTTAGTTCTTGTAGTACAAAGGACATTTTTTCTTTGATGTGTTCGTCGGGTTCAAAGGGTTCGTCTACTTCGGGAACGTCTTGGAGGGCTTCTCCAATCTCGAAGTCTGTCACTGACTGCTTTTCCATCTCTTCTAATTTCTTCAGTTCGTATCTATACCATTCGTCCTCACTGTCAATGCTGTCTTCTGTACTCTGCCGTCTGGAAGAGACTCTTGAGCCACTTCTCCAGGAGTGAGTGCTCCTGTTGTCTTCGTCTTCGCTACGAAAATTTGGTATTTCTAAACTTTGCTGTTGTTTATTAGTCCATCTGTTGCTTCGAAAATTGGTAGATGATTGTATCTCCTCTGTCACACTTTCTTCTTCGGGTAATGATGATGGCGGTAGTTGCGGTATGTTAGGAGGTTTCGAAGCTTTGGGTTCTGTTACTGCTTCTTGTTCGATGTCGGGCTCGTCGAATATTTCTTCGATTTTTATTTCGTCAGAGATTTGATCGTCTGAATATGTCGAGGTTTGTCTTTGTCTATATTTACCTAGAGCTCTTGAAACTGCGAATTCCATGGATGCAAGGGTGACTTGAGGTAGTTGCTTGGTTTCAGTATTCGGGCCTTCATCTTGTGTTTCCGATGATGCTGAACTACGTTTGACGTCTCCGATCGTTGCAAACATGAGTGCAGCGGTTTCGACAAGCAATTCGTCGTCTTCACTGTTTTGATTGACGGAATTTGTGTCTAAATCTTGAATATTGACGGAATGAGAATTAATTTGTGCGATCTCTTCTTCTTCTTCTCTTGTATTGATTACTTCGTTGGGCGTTCTTTGGGGTATAAGGGCGAACACGTCATCTTTTTCAGCGTGGCTCTCTGAGAGTAAGCTGAAGCTGTCGTCTTCTTCGGAAGCTGCTGAGCTCTCCATCGTCAAACTCCACTCGTTCTCCGATTGTTCAGGATCGGATAAGGATTGTCCCTGTGGGTCCTTCTTTCGTCCTCTGTGCATTAAACCTGACACTGTAGACACGAGAATGTTCTTCTTTTTTTTCTTGGGTAACGCTTGGGCTATGTTTTTGTTTTGATCTTCGCCGGCTTTTGAATTTTTTGCCCCTGATGGGAGCGAGTAAGATCGATGCCTTTTTGTCAGATGTAAATCTGGAAACCAGTTGCTGACAGAGTTCATGGCGGATTTTAACGTCTTGCCTCGTCTCAATTTTTTCGGAGATTTCTGGTTCCGATTGAATTCCTGTGTAATTGTTATGTAACCGGTTCTGGTCATTAGCAAATTGTCGGTTTCGTACGGTTTCGTGGATGGTTGCGTTATATATTCAGGTACGTTCTTATTTTTTAAGTCTAGTTCTAAATACGGAATGTCCGGCCTTTGATTTCCCGACGCGTTATTGAAGTCGGCGGGTTGCTGAAAATGGTGCGTTTCGTTGGTTCTGTAGTACTGATACGACAGCCTCTTGTCCGGATAGGCCATGTATCCGTTGGTGTTTTCAGGCGGACGTTGTCCTACATTTTCCCTATTTTGCGAAGTAATATTTTCTTCAGGATAATTTCCAGTTGACTGGGAGCGTTTCCTCTGTTGCGGTATTACTTCGTACCTTGCCGCCGTCGGGTAATAAGAAAGGGCGTCGGTAATATTTCCCGTAGGATATCCCGACCTGTGCCCGTACTGTTTGTAACTTTCTTGTGATTCGTAGCTGGGGTTTGTTTCAAAAGAGAAGTCCTTATTAATTTTTTTCCTTTTTTCGTGATTTCGAACCGGTTGCGATTGGTTATATTTTTTGCTGTTGTACGTTTCACCATCACCGAACGGTTCCACGACGTCAGGGTAATTAGCACTCAGAGTATTGTCGAAGTGACCCATCGTATATACAGAACGAAACGCCTCATCTTTGTTTGTTGCGGCAATGGAATAAATAACAGAGCTGTCGGCTGTAGAATACGAGAACGAGTTGGCCTTCATGTGACGGAATTTCGTCTTGGATCTGGGACTGACGTTAATGTCGGATGCTGGAGCAGGTGCCGGTACGAAGTTCCCGGACGATTCTAAAGAACAAGGAGATTTGACGGTTGTGAAGGCAGACAGTCTGTGCCCGCCGGGTAGGACGGCGCTATTGTCTAGGGCGTCGTTAGCGTACATTGAATTGTTTTCGATGTCATTGTTGATCGGAGCTGACGAGACGAAAGCCTCTTGACACACGGGCGATGCGGACTTTTGGTGCCTGCTAAGGCTCATTTCCAGGAAATAATTTAGCGAACACGTTTTACTATTGACGGCGCTTTTTGGCGATCCTTGAGGCGATTTTTCCAAACTTGACCAGCCGCTCATCGAAGACAAACCGGAATCCGACTTGGCAGCCATTATATTCGCTTTGCTCCGTTTCGGGGAAGTCCGTGGCGATTTCGGTGAATGTGGTGTTCTTGGACTGAGACGGTCGATGTCGTGATTGGCTAAAGTCGTTGACGTCGCTGCACTAGTACTTAGGAATATACTTCCCGTTAAATCGCTGGTAATAATAAAACTATCTTTGGACACTACGAGACTTTCCAAAGCGTCTACTGGAGCTGGTGGCGGGGGAGGAGTGTTCGAGGGTGTCTTGGAATTTTTCTGTACCTGTTCTGCGCCTGTGGGAGAGTCTATGTATCCGTCTTGGCGTGTTCTAACGCTACAAATTGACAATGTAGGCGACAGTGGCTTTTCTGCTCTCGTTATAAAATTTTCTTTACTCGCGTATGAGGATGGAAACGAGGTTTCGTTTAACCGGTTCATTTCTAGGATGCTATTATAAAATGGGTTCTTTGATGCCGATGTTTTCTGCAAGAACTCAGCCGCCTCGGCATTTTGAACTGCCGTTGTATAGGCGAGCCGGCCCGTTACAGTGGTATAAGGTTCGCTACACGAGACCACCTGATGCCTTCGTCTTGGCGAAGTTGGTGTTTTTATGCCCCCTGACAGTGTTTCGGCCACTTCGTTGTCGGTTCCCACAATACTCTCTGGTAACGAGATCCTGGAACTGGGTCTATTTGAAAGGGATGGGGATGACATGAACTTCCACATCTCTGAATCGTTTAGGAATTTTTGCATGTGATCGTCAGGTTTACCGCATTCGTCTTTTGCCTCCGCTTCGAGCAACTGATTTTGGAGTTGTTGGATATTGAACGAGTCTTCTTTTATTTTACTACTTAACCTATCCAATTCGCTTAATTTTTCCATTGTAATGTGATCAATTGAACTAAGCTGAGCTAAATCTTGCTCGCTAACGCAGGGAGAATTGCCGCGGTAGTCTTTATAATCAATAGCACTAAACACTTCTTGAGTTTCTTCGTAACGTGCGGCATCTTCCAATCGTTTTATTTCTTCTCGTGTTTTATCTATGTCGTTGACTTCTTCTGTCTCCTCTTCCCAAATCATTCCCAAATGCGGTGACGGTCTCATCTGCTCGCATCCTATTAAGTCTTCCCTGTAGGCCTGGTTTAAACTCCTGTAGAAAGCTTCGTCTGGGTCGCGGGTATCGGCCAATTCCGATGAAAAATCAATTCCTTCGCTTATTTTCGAATTGGAATGGTTTGAAGGTTTTGCAACGTCCACGCCTTCTTCTAAGCCATCTTCGACGGTACCGTTGCCTAATATTTCCCGAATAACTTCCAGCTGACCCATTCTACTATCCAGTTTGAGTCCCACGTCTCCACCCATTTCTTGAAGGATATCAGCTCCTCTAGTGTAAAAGCCAAGAAGTTGAGAGATAACTGACTGCTGGTCGTACAGTAGCCCTTCCAGTTTTTCCAACCGTTCCCACATTTTTATATATTCCTGAGACAAGAGGTCTAAAGCCCTCCACGCGTATTTTAGTTCCGTTTCCAAAATTCCAAGGCGGGTGCTAAGCCTTTCCATATAATCACTTATAATATAGTCCATGTTACCATCGCAATTCTGATCGGCGGATATGGGGGCCATGGCGTCAGTGATATTTTCCATGGTTACAATTACAATCGGAGGAATGGCATTTACGTAATAATTTTTTTGAATTCTAATATTCGTTGTTGTCGGATAAGTTCACCATTTTCACTTTACACATTTAAATCTAATTTCCCGAAAAGTCACTTTGGGTTTTTGGATAATTTTATAAAACTGCTCTGTTACTGTCGTCATCGTCTGCATACGTCGATCTCCTCTTCATGCACCTGAAAATAATGCGCTGTTAAGGGGAATATTTGGGCGTTTTCCCAGCCCTTTGCTCAAGTGCGATAATAGTAATAAATAATTAGAATATTTCTTCAGATTAATTAGGACCGGTAACTATTTGTCACTTTAATTTATGCAGGTAGGTATTATAGGACTAATATGTATTTTCATGCTTATTAAACCGGTTATAGGATCTAAGGCATTTGTTAGGTTTCTAATTGAGAAAGGAAAATGCGCGATTAGTAAATGGTTTACCCGGCAAAAGTAAAAATAGAATTTAACACAGGAAGTGTAACGATAAAGGACAATCAATCTACTGTCACTGATACAATTTTGGGAACAATTTACTTATACTTCGTTTACTTTCTCTAGCGATGTGCCCCTTCCAATGTCTTAGATGCGCACTTGCAAAATCGGAGGTAGGGATAAAAAAGCACATTATACTCTCGACTCTTGTACATTAAAGATACTTTTTGGTACAGTAATTGGCAAAAGTATTGTTCAATCATGAATAGTAGTGCGTGTCGAAAACAAGCTTTAAAACCTTTAATATGTCTTTAAATATAAACAAACATCTCGTTGATATTTTCAGTAGTAGTTGGTACCAATAACAGCACAATAGAGCGATGCAATTTTAATGGATAATATGGTCAATTTTCCGTGCAGTACTGTACGGATTATACGCTCCTCACCGGTTGAGAGTTTTACCGAGAGTTGTCTCCTTTCTCTTCTGGCCTGGTGCTGTTCTTTTCTACTTTGCGCCGGTCAAACTAAAGGTCACATCGCTACAGAAACTAAACGAAGTATAACTGTGTCATGAAAAGTTAACTGTAGACTCAAAAGATTAGAATTTATTATGAAGATAACAATATTAACGATATCGGGGATGGGTTTAGACTGGGAACAAGAGACCATCAATGTTAAGCAAAAAAAAAACAAAGAGGATTCTGAAACCCTTATTGTTTGTTTATGTGTTAACAAAAATGGTCTACTCAGCTTCACGGTTCAGTGATCTCACTTGGAAATCCCAGGATCATTCAAATGTCTCCCTTGGGCCAGAGGTGAGAGATGTGCAAGACATCACCGTTTCGCTGAAAATGTTCCCTTATTCTTTTACTTCTTATATAAACCTAAAATAAGGGTCTCCAAAAGTAACTCGGGCGCAAAAATTGAAGTAATAAAATATATAAGTATAGGCTTTTACGACCGGTGTCTTTGCAATAATAAGAAATATTAGGATTCGGTATTTCTGGTCATTGTCTTGTGAATTTCTTCCCTGTCTGTACAATTATCTTCTCTTATAGCGATGTAAAAATAGTTACCGTGTAAATGAAGCAACTACCGTTTGTGAGTAAGTCTATGAGTAGTGGGGTAGCGAACTATATCATAGTGGTGTATATTTAAAGCATTTCTTTTATAATTTGCAATTGTAAATTCTTTATTTTTAACAAAATATGCGAGTGACATATTCAATTATTGAGTGAAATAAACTTCTAAAAATCTAACGTTTACATTTATTACAGTTATTCTTTTTATATTTGCCAAATGTTTACCGTAGTTTCACTGTTTTGGACACCTCTCCATTAATTTCTTTTAATAAACATAAATTTAATGGTCTGAACTTACGCTGTTCAGATACAAAAGTTTCAGTAACTGATATAACAAAAAAATCGTTAAAATACCATTTTTGCTTTCAAAGAAAACTTATTATTTAACAACAATGTGGCGAACAATTCGGAATCGAATGAACGGTGTAGAAAAAACAAAACGTAATTAGTTTTGATTTGGCTGCTCTCAGAAAACGGTTATAATAGTACAACTGACTGGCATGTAGCAGAAGCGAAATGTCAAGTGAGATGTAAACATGCATCTCTCATACGCCAGCTGTCTCGTCTGCGATATTACTAAATAAATTTCATTACATTTAAAAAAAAAAATAAGAAATTTTAGAATATCTAATATTTGTAGTCTCGACTAAAGAAACAAGATCTCTCTATATCACTTATCTTTACAAAGTATCAGTAATCAATAATGATGAGAATGATGAAGGACATTTATAAAGCAACTTATTCAACCCCTAGACAGCATTCATTAACCATTTGAATTTATTGGACCAATATAGTTAAGAAAGAATTTTTCTAATGCGTGTGTGATCAAACTTCTCGCACTGCCGAAAACCCGATTCTTTCTCGTCAAGTGGTTAAAGGATAGAATAACGAGTTCACTTAAATTCTGCCCTAACAATAATCCACTCGTTCGGAAAGGTCCTTCTTTATAAATGCCAACTAGACAGGGGTTGCAATCAATGGATTCAGACGGTGAGGATATTCTTCAACTAAAACTCCAGCGTTTTGAACAGAAATTAACCGAACAAATGTCGAAAATAAATTAGATTCTTCGAGTAAACGTTAAATCTATGGTAAGAGGAGAGGAAAGAATTCTTGCCATTTTCTTGAAGCTTTTCCCTAATCATAGAATTTATTTGTTCTTTTGTTCGATCAGTTTCGGTTGTTTTCATAATTACATATAAAAAGAGGTTTTTGGTAGAATCATTTATCTCGTTGGCTTTAATTTTATTGCACTTTCCATTGCATCGGTTACTAGGTGCAGGTACAATAAGGTTTCGATTTTTCAAAAGTTTTACGATCAATTTTATTAGAATTCATTTTACTGAATTTTGAAAATATACGTAAAATATTCACTCAAATCTAACGTAGTCGTAAATCTACTTTTTTCAATAAAGTGGTCAATTATTGTAATGGATATTCATAAATAGAACTGTTGAATTAAATCAGGTGGGTGCCTAACTTATTACGTGTAGATGTTACAAGTAACGATTAATCATGTCTTCCAATGAACTAGCAAATTACTAACATATTTCAAGTATTAATCATTTTCGATTGATTAACGGCACCCTACCTTTGATGGCCCATTCGAACTTGTATATTATGTACAGATTTGTTAACGAAGAGAGGTTCAAATTGTTAAATTGTCTAAATTTTGGATTTTTGATGATGGTTAGATCAAATTACTCAAATCTAGAATTTATAAACATTGAAATATACTAAGATGTTGTATGAAACCATCCAGTTAAGTTATTCCCGCTCTTATTGCAATGCAATTCATTAAAATCACCGACTTCTGTGAATTATAAACTTCTCTGCACCTGTTAAACAGGCTTTTCTTGGAGGATTGGGTCCAACATGTTGTAAAAGTCAAGAGAAAATGTACATCTGCACAAAATGGTTAGTATAATGGACATAACAGGTGGCTAAAGTTGACCACACCTTACAGCAATTCTACTCGAGCGACAATCTTATCACTTGTTATCGTGTGAACGCGGCATTAAACATTGAAAACTGTTTCTCTTTCTTAACTTGTTGCACACTGTATTGTTCCTGAGGTGGACCAAATGCACAGCTTACATATTTTTAGACATTCATTGTAAAGGTAATTCTACCGTTTGACATACCGAATTACGAAAGGTGAAATCCTGATCATACATAAGGAATCCAACAGGCTATAGTTAAAGGGATCATGTTGTTTCTTATTCTAAGATGAAAAGGGTACCTATTAACGTTGATTAGTACCATTGTCATAAATGTAGTGAACTGTAATTTCGTCAGGTTAGGAGCTCAAAATGTAGTAGGTAATAAAGACAATGGTTCAGCATACCATTAGCTACGTAGTTGGATGAATTGAATACCATTCATAAAATACGTAGATTAGGCATGGGAATATCTATTCATTGCGCAAGCAAGAAGGCAGCAGCTAAATTTAATTGTATAACCAACAGTTAAAACAGCTACTGTTTCCTCAAGTGTACCATCTGACAATCTAAATTGTAGAGCATGCAGCTTTTTATCGATAAACAGTAGCAATGTGGTTAGAAATGTTTATAGAAAGCAAGGTTCAAACATTAAATGTAAATGATTAACACAATGAGTTTTCTTGCTTCTAAAAAATATCCTGAAAAATTTTTCTTTTCTTAACTTTTTCAACGGGCAGTTATAGAGCTGGGGCTGCAACGTGTAGAGACGTAAATATTAGGAAGGGAGTAAATATTAAGAGGAAAGATTAGAAGAAGTGGCTGATTTTAAGTATCTAGGAAGTCAAATCAGTCAAGAAGTAAGGACGGAAGGAGTAGTAGGGATATAAAGTAGAGGATAGCGCAGGTTCGAGTCGCCTTCAATAAAAAGAAGTTGTAAACGATTAATTTTGAAATTCGAAAAAGATTGTTAAAGGTTTATGTTTTGAGCGCGGCGGTGTACGGGTGCCAAACATGGACAGTGGGCGCTGTAGAAAAGAAAAGCATATAAGCGTTCGAAATGTGGTGTTACACGCAAATGCTGAGGATACCGTGGATAGAGAAGGTTATTAATGAAGAGAGATTAGAAAGAATACGAGAGCAGATGACTGTATGGAAGAAATAGGCGAGATAGGTTGGTAGGACACCTTGTCAGGCATGAAGGTCTAGTCAGAGGTCTAGAGGAGTAGAGGTAGACCTAGATTAGATTACTGTTTGCAAATAGTTAAGGATGTGGGCTGTTCTAGTTTTAAGGAAAAGAAGATTAGTTCAAGAGTCGAGGTGCGTGTCCAACCAGTCTTAGGACTGACGACCTTATGATGGATGAACTTTTTCAAAAGAAATTTTGAATAAACTCTAATTAACAAAATCATTAACATACTATGAAATTTGCTATTCATAGAAACGAAGCTTCATTTGCAAGTAATCTCTAAAACAGGGAATTACGTTTATGATTTGTTTTTCACTTTCAAAAAGAACGCTAATGTAACTAACCTAGCACATAACAGTTTTCAAATTCCAAATGGAATTTTGCATGATTATAAAATCTTGCTTTCATTTCTTCAATAAAAAAATTAGAACTCGGTCTGTCGAAGCTTCATCGATTGTTTCTCTGTTATACTTGTATATATTGTCAACCGAGTCTGCTAAAATGCAATTTGCGCAGTGGAACGTGCTTTTATTCGAAATCGTTCCATTAAAGATCAACGAATGGTCGTAAACGTTTGGACAACACAAGAACAAATGGTTTGCGCTCCGATGAAATCGATGTGTACTGGTGACTTTACTTTAAGAATTACGATTAGCAAATGTACCTAATTAAAACCTGATTACAATTGCACGGCTTTGAGAAAAGATTATGCACTTAGTGATTATTATTCTATTTTATTAAAACGTATTATATTTATTTGAAAATCGCTACAAACTATGAGGAACCCTACAACACCTACCAATAGCAGTTTAGGTTAAGATTCCAAAAGGGATTAAAACAAGGCGTAGTTATGACCAAAACAGGACCAAGACGAAGATTATCCCAATCTTGGCATTGATCTTAGACTTGCTTATTCGGTCTTAGTGTTGGTAAAAAATATGAAAAAAAAGTAGTTTGCTTCTGTATTTCAATCCATTCCAAAAACATTCTTCTAGATTCTATGCATTTTCGCAAGATCAAGACGTAAACCAATTTTGCTCATCACTAGCATCAAGTGAGCTATGGTCCCGTGCTTTTTGTGAGACATTAAACATGATTCGCACGATACTCATTTTTGTCTTGCGGTGATCCGGCTAAAGATTTATTTTGATCGTTTAGATCTACACAAGTCATTATTTGTGTAGAAAAATGTCGCTCAATCCATC